TTTTTTTTCTCCTTGTTGCAGGTTTCTTGTTTTGTTTGAAAGTTTATTCATGCCATAGTTGAGGGCCTCTAGAATTGTTCCTTGTCTTCTTCTGATGGCTTTTACAATCTTTTGTTTTAATATTAGGTTTTTCATCCACATTAAGTTCGTTTTGTGTATGTTGTGAGGTGTATGTGGGTCTTACTTTAGTGTTCTGCAGAGAATTGTCCAGATACACCAATATCATTTGTTAAAGAAACTGTCATTTCCTCACCTAATTGTGGGGAAATTTTTTTTTCTTTGTCAAAGATCAGATGACCATAAGTAGATGGAGTGATTTCTGGATTCTCAATTTCATTGAATTGGCCAATGTATCTGTCACAATACCAGTACAATGTTATCTTGATTACTGTTCCTGTGTGGTAGATTTGAGATCAGGTAGTGCAAAAACTACTCCCTTGTTTTTCTTTTTCAGTAGTGCTTTGCTTATCTGGGGTCTCTTTCTTTTCCAGACAAAATTGGAAATAGCATTTTCCATCTCTTTGAAGAATGGAATCAGTATTTGTATTGGAATTGCATTGAACTTATAGATTGCTTTTGATAGAAATGTCATGTTCATGATATTGAGTCTTCCTATCCATGAATATGGTATATTATTCCATTTCTTTGGTTCTCTTTTCCCTCCTTTCTTTCTTATAACAGTGTTTTGTGATTTTGTTGGTATAAGTAAGTTATGTCTCTAGTAAGATTTGTTCCTAAGTATTTAATCTTGTGGTTATCTATGTAATCAGCATTCATTTTCTTATTTCTTTTTCTGTGTTCTCTTTGTTACTGTAGAAAATTCCATCACTTTTTTTGTATGTTGATTTTGTATCTTGCTGCTTTGCTAATCTGGCTGACTATATCCAACAATTTACTTTCAGATTCTTTAGGACTTCCAAGTATAATGTCATGTCATCTACATATATAGTTTTATTTCCTTTTTGCCAGTTTATTGTTGTTGCTGTTGTTTACCACTGAGTTGAAGTCAACCAATAACTAATCCTCAAGCAAGTTTTCAGAGGATATAAGTTCAGTGGCATGAAAAGAGATTGCCCATCTTTCTCACATGAAGCAGTGGATTTTAAATGTCTGCATTTGTATGAGCACAACTCCTTACCACAGAGCCACTTTGTTGTTGTTGTTGTTGTTGTTGTTGTTATAGGTCATTGAGTTAACTGTAGTTCATAGTGACCTATGAACAATACTTCTGAACCCTGCCCTACTCTGAGTCAATCTCTTAATCTC